TGTGGTATCCATTTCCATAGATACTGTATTCTAATGGTGCTGTCTTTGGCCTTAGGGTTTGCACAGACACACCACCATTATTTTGGAAAGAATCATGCTATGGTCACATACACAGACATGTGGAAACTCTACATACGAATATATTTCCTCTTTCAAAATGAATTAAAGCACAAAAAGTAGAGGCTCTGAATTTATCAACCTACATGGGAAACTCTTGAATAAATTCAAAGAGATGTGTCAAAGATACACAGACACAAACTCAACATTCCTTTACATTTCTCCTTTAAAATTCTCTGAAAAATGTAAGTTCTAATGCTGGCATCTAGCCCGGTAAGCTCCCCAATTTTCTAGCAATGAGACCTTTATCCTCCAAGAATTTCATAGCTAATTTAAAAACTCCACTCCTATTTTAAGTTCTGTATCCTAACTTATAATAACTTACAGTTCATCAGTCCTTCTTCTTTCTATGCATCTATCCTTGGAGCTGAGAGTCTCCTCTGGTATAAACATACTTTTCTAGTTGCCCAGGGAAACAGGGTGCTCCAAGATGCAAAAGCTTGAACCAAGGCATGCAGCTTTGCTGCAAATGAGGTGAGCTGAAGACTCACTGCCTGGCTAATTGGATGAGATGAACATTTTTTTTCCTACATCCAACTTTCTTCTATTTCCTTTCTTCCCACCCACAGGGTAGTGTTTTGAGTCCCGCTCGAGACCTCATTGCCAATGGAAAGACACTTGGGAGTCTGGCATAGCTCACACATAAACCCACGTAGATGGAAAATGTTCACAGCAGGAGAGACTTTATCCTCTCTTCAAAGCTAAGGACTTACCCAACTGTTGTATTATGGTTCATTCTTTGTGGCATTTACCTACTAGGGTAATGCAACATTCACAGTTTTTCATGAAGATGGAAGAGGAAGGGTACGGAAACACTAAAACTAGCACTTTCCAGAAAAAAAAAACATGGTGGGGAGGGACAGCTGAGACTCAACTGTAGGTTTCTGCTTGTCATATTTTATGAGGGACTGATTTGAGAAACCAAGAGGAGCTGTAGTTATCAGCGATTTGCCTTCCTCCAAAGTCAACAGAAGGGCTAGTCAGCCAACATAGTTGGTAGGGAGGTGTTAGGTATGCTGTCTTCTTAAAGTATATATTTGAGCCATAGCAAAAAGCTCATGCTTAGTATTATATCAGCTTATTTAGGAGTTGTAGATAGTTAAAATTTATTGTCAGTGACACTGAAGTTCAGGCTACATAACTTATGGCCTGGAGCACAGGGTGTCTCTCACTTGAAGATCAAGATTTCAGGAAGGAAAGGATGACATGAGGCAGTGATCCCCCAACTATTGACAAGCTGCAGGAACAATATACACCTTTCTGTAATGGTGATGAATCGGAATAGACTTGAGCAGAGTACGTCCAAATCCTGAAACCTGCTAGCTATGTGGCCATGAAGAACTCATTGAGTCGCTCTGAGACTCTTTGTTTCTTCACTTGAAAACTGAAGACATCATCCTCAGACCTGTTGCTCCGACCATGGCTATGAACAGGCTTTTTAAAGCAGTGGAGCCTTAGGTCACTTACCAGCTTTTGTCATTACCACCATAATGGTTATCATCTCACCAACCGTATAAAGGGGAGTACCCAGTGGAAAATACAGAAACATACAAAAGAAAGAGAAATTTCAAAGATTCACTGTAGTTATAAAAATAGTCAAGTTTAGAAGGCATCAAATATGACTCTCTACTTCTCCCATCCAATAAGGAATCCTAAAATGATTCATTTGTGACAGCTTTGATACTTTTTCGGGGATCTAGGGGTGTCCTGTGTAGCTGTGTATAAATAGCATTTCTAGCTGTTTTAATCCAAAGTGATTCTGTTCTTCCCACAATATCTATATCTATTTATCCATCTTTCAATCACCTATCTAATATGTTGCAGATGAGGTGAGCTGAAGACTCACTGCCTGGCTAATTGGATGAGATGAACATTTTTTTTGCTCCTAACTTCAACATTTCGCTCCTAAAAATAATGTTATTTTCCTATATAACCACAAAGCCATTACTATACTCAAGAGATTAATACTGATATATTATTGCATATATAGTTTATATTCACATTTCTTCAACTTTGTCCCAGATACTGTTTTTGATCCAGAGTCCAACTGAGCTGCATGCCTTGCATTTGAATGGCATGTCTCTTTAATCTCCTTTAATCTAGAATAGTCTCTTTTAACACTGATACTTTTGAAGAATTCAGGACAATTATGTTGAAGAATGCCATATCACCTGGATTAGGAATAGACATGTTTCTTAATGGTTGCCTTCATGTTAAATATTTTAGTAAGACTAATACATTGATGATGTGGTATACTTCCTACTAAATTCTCTCAGCTGCCATATGCCAATTTTTCCCACTATTGATGACACCAAATTTTATTACTTGGGTTAAGAAGGTGTCTATCAGGTCTCCCCACTGGAAAGATATCTTTTCTCCTTTGTACTTAGGTCATCTGTGAGGTGATCTTCTGATATCCCTCCCAATACTTTTAAACATATCATAATTGCAGTTCGTTAATTATTGGAAAAACTATGAAGAGTAATGAGAAGCTCCATAATGAAAAACAAACAAAAATGTATTCATTAATCATTCTACTTAAGGGAAAAAGAAGGAGGCTGCCTGGGAAGAAAGCAACATGGCCAGGGGGGATCCACTCCATTGACATCATTTGTTGACATTTTCTTCCCTCGCTTCTTGGTGCAGCTTGTAATCTAGTAGGAGAGTGTTAGCATGAAGGCATTTAGTGCCTTTCAACAAATCAGGTATAGTGTCAATGACAATCCCAGCATTAAATAGGCAAAGGGATGGAAAAAGAGGGGAGATGATGAGGCAGTGGTTGGGTCAGGGTCCTGAGGCCAGAGAGAGAAGTTCTTTTAGGAGAGTGCTTGGCAATGCTATTTACAGTCCAGAATGAAACTAAGGTAAAATTCTGATAGACAGAAAAAGAGGACTCATTTACCTTATGTAACTCTCAGATCAGGCACTCCTGATGCAAATGTGCAGACATATAGCCTTCCTTTATCTCCAAGCAGACTTACGGACCCTGTCTTCCATGCTCACCTAGTACCTCAGGCCAGCTCAACATGGTGATGATATCTGCACTGATACCTCTTACATCTGCCTCCCTCCTGTCATTCCCAAGAACTCGTGAACCCTGTGAGGGCAGAGCCCCTGAATCTGAGTGTCCCTAACACCCAGCACAGTGGCAAACATGAGAAATGTGCTCAGATACATTTAAAGAGTGGAATCATAAGTGACGGTTCTGTTAACTCATCTTCTGCCCCTGCTTCTACCTAGTCAGTAAGAGGCAGCGCTGGCATTCACACCAAGGCATTCTGGCTTTGGAGCCCACAGTCTTAACCAGTATTCATGGAACAGTACCCACAGCATTTGATCTCAAGGTGCAAGGGCTCATTATGTAAGAGTTAGTCAGGCATTAAAAATTCTCTCCACATTGGCCCCAACTTAATTCTCCAACCTTATTTCTCAACATTGTGCCTTCCCACCTAGGTGCTTCACTCCAGTGATTTTATTTCCCATCATGTTAAAATTCCCCCATAAGAAATTACATCACTTCTCTACTATTGCCTCACTTCTAAATCTCTATTAGCATAACTTTAAAGACTTAACTTAAAGGGGAACTGCTCTATAAACACTTTTCCCTTCCTGCTTGAGTATGTCCTCTCTTCTTCTTCTGAATTCTCAAGGAACTTGGGATGAACTTTAATTAAGTCACTTGTCCCTTTCTGTCTTGTGTTATGATTATACACCATAACTCTGTACACATCCCATATAAGACAATAAACACTTTTAAAGGTATGACCCATGTCTGCCTATCCCCATACGTCTCCACCATTTAGCAGAGTAGCTTGCATGTAATAAGCACTTTGTAGGTGTTTTCTACACAAAGTAAATGTTCCTTGAATAATCCTGGCTTTAACTCATATTTTGTTCATTCTATCTGATTAGAAAAGAACACCTTTCTCTTATTTTCCATCTGTCCACAGCTGATCTTCTTCATAAAACCTTTCCTAATTATCCAGCATAAACTTTTGAAGATGATGGACATGTTTTGTCTGGATTGTGCTGACAGTGATACAAGTATATACATATGCCCAAACCTACAAGTTGTATATGTTAATTACGTGTGGTTCTTATACCTTGATAAAGCTGGGGAAAAGCTTTTAGAGAGGAGAAAAAAATGCATAGGCCTAACATCTGGATTCTAATCCAGTCCTTCCATTTACTAGCTATTGATATGGGCAGACTGCTTAACATTTTTGTGCCTCAATTTACTGATCTGGAAGTAAAAATAGCATTTACCTCACAAGGTTGTATTTCTTCTGTTACAATGAAATTAGTTAATTCCTATGAAGTACATAAAGTGATGCTGTCATATTGTAACAGCAAAAAGTTAATCATTATTCTACATTCTGTCTCATGGTTTACAATTAATTGGTAATGATTATTTACCAATTGGTGATACATGTCTATTTCTTGCTAGGAACTTAAATTTAAATCAGCTACTATTAATGGATTTTTAATAGGCATATCTAGTTTTCTTAAAGCATAAAATAACTTTGATTACTGAGTATATACTATATGCCAAGAACTTGCTAAGTGCTTTCTATAAATATTTCATTTAATACTCACAGTAACAGTATAAGTAGGTATTATTTTCATACTGTAGATAAAGCAAAACAAAAACAAAGATTTAAAGAGGGTAAGCAATTTGTTCAAGTTGTCTAAGCTAGGTAAATAGTAGAGCTGGGATAGTTCTTAAAGGAAAAGATAATTTTTAATATATATGTGTTTCCCAGGGTACTTGTATACTTACTAACAGTTACTATCTATGTTCAATTTTCTTTACTGCTATACATTTTGTTGTTAAGATATTTGAAGCATGTATACTTGGTATGTCAACTCCAGACCCCACTCACCAAAGTATTCATCAGCAGGTGGATTTTCCATATCATACAGCATCTTCTTGGTCAGGTGCTCAAGCTCATCTTCAGGCCGGAATGAGGTGGGGACAGCTGGAGGCCCCACTGACCCTGGAAGTCCACCCTGAAAGTCAGGGAACACATAGGCCTTTAAATGTAATCTAGACATCAATCATGATAATCAAAAAGTATTTGCATTGTAGAAGAAAAAGCACTGTACATAGTTAATAAGAGTTCTGGGTCTTAGAATCAATTTTATCAATTATTCAGTCTGACCTTGGACACACCACTTTATTTACCTGCCTTATCTACATGAGTCATGTCTCAGGCTTTAGAAATCCATGTTTACAACAGCAGGAATTTTCATTCAACAATTGCTAAGCAGTCATTATGGAGCAGTGGTATATTTATAAAAGAAGATGTATAAATTGAGCCTCCCTCCTTAGAGAGTTTATAGTCAAGTGAGACATATAGGCACATTGATAACTAAAGATAAAGCAACTGTAGAAAGTGCCCATTCAGGGTACCATAGAGACCTCTCACATAGCCTGAGAGGAAGAATTCCAGAGGAGATGCAGTGGTACAGATGAGGACTTATTTAGCTAAAAGAGAGGAAACATACAGGATTCTCACATGTATGTTAAAAAAAATGCCATGTGGCAAAAGGAGCTCCTGGCAGTTGCATATTTCTGGACCATGTATAAAGTTTGATTTAGGAAATGAGATGGATTTTATCAAGTGCATGGGGGGCAGAAATGAATGACCTTATATTTCAGTTAAGCAGTTAAGTGGTATTTTCTCTCAGCACTACAAATAGCCAAATATCAAATGAGGAAGATAAATCAGTAGTATTGACATTGGGTTGGTGTTTAAATAGGTGGATGAGCCAGAATTAAAGCAATGTCAGGGAATCAAGTGTCAGGTGAAAGACTGTTGAGACGATCAACCAAGAATCTAATTATCTGGGGAAAGAAGAAAGGCCAGACACTAGATGCAAAATAGCTCTGTGTTATGTATGTAAATAAAAGGGAATCTATATTTTCTTTTGCCTATAACTTTGACTGTTTCCAATATCATACCCCAACATCTTCAATCAAAGTGTTTATAAGTGTTAAGTTTATAAAAAGTTTAGAAATAATGATGTCCACCATGGCTAACAGAGAGGAAGATGAGACTGGGAATACTCATCCTTGATGTTTACACATAATTAAGAGTTTCTCCTTTCATAAATAGTTTACAAGAATCATTTAAAAAAAACCCGGAGTTGAATATTCATTCACCTGTTATCTTCACTATACCAAATGGGTTATTGGATGTGAAACTTCCTATAAAGCACTAATTCCTGTACAAATATTTCATTGTTACTGATAATGTGTATTTCAGCAACTCCAAAATGGATATTGTCTGTATGCTGTCTAATGCATCAAGTACCTTCTAAAAATATATGAAATTGTTAACTGGTACCTATTTGGACTTTATGAGTATCTTCCATTTTCAGGTTTTAAAAAATGTACAGAAAGTTGGAGTACAGACATGCAAAAGGCTGGGAAGACCAAGAATTTTCGTCAGTCCCTAATCTTAATCATGGGATTTTATTTTATCATTGGACAATTTGGATTGGAAATGGAAAACAGTGAATAAAGTATGGCATGTGGCAGACGACAGAAACAAAAAAATAGAGCTGCATGCTGGACTCAGAGGAGTCATTCCTATGCATTACGAGATAAGGAAATTTGACACACGAAAAGACCAGAGGAGGTCTAGGCATGATAAAGCCAAGACAAGAGCCCATCTTGGACACATTTACTCAATAAACATTAAATATTATTAAAGTTAGGGCCTCCTCTAAGGTGCAAATGATGCCTACACTATAGAGTTGGAGTGTGGGTTAAAGGTGCTATTAAATCACTCATTTATTCTTTTGCTTATCAGTGTATCCACTTATCAATTCAATACCTATTTTGTGTGCCCTCTGCAAGCATCAGGGAGGGACACAAAGATGTACCAGGCACAGTCATTGCCTTTAAGAGAACTGGAGTCTAGTGGGGAAGAGAAACATGCACAAATGATTATCAAGAGTATGTGTAGATATGAAGATTGGAGGAGTGATTTGTTGATAATACCAATCTATAAATTGCACGTATGCTACCCACTTCTAGGAAAATTTTACAGAAATGCCCATAAAGTTAGAAAACCAAGGCTGGTCACAGAAACTATATTTGAGAGGAGGACAAAAGTTAACAATTTAACCACCCATCCATGGGTAAGAGGTCAGCAAAACAGACATTTATAGATACATAGAATGAGTATGAATAGGTTTTAAAAGAGTACATTATAAATCTATATGTACAAGTATAAAAAGATGACTGAGCCATGTTATCAAATTAATAGATTCAGTAATAGAAAAGGACATTTAAATGATGATCCCATGTTATAAAGTTAAGTGCAGTTTAATTACCTACAGTTCTATAGATAGGAAAAGAAAGGGCATATATTTAAGTGTTGAACTGTATCTAGGGTTGGAATCCTGGGGCCTTTCCCTCTCTAAGCTTATGTTTCCTTATTTTATACTACGTGATTCTACTTCTACAGTCCATGAAATTATAGCTTTTGTAATGCGATGAATTCAAGTGATAAGGATATGCTAGATACTCAGAAAGGCCTATAATAGGTCAAGTGGGGAACTCTGAGAGGAACAAAAGGTCAGGGGTGAGAAGCGTGGGGAAAACTGGAGGTGGTTCTGTGTTTGAAACTGGAGAGCAGAGAGACAAGAAAGAGTCAGCTAAGTTAATCACGGCCAAGCCACGCTGAGGTGGGACCCACACGGACCAAGGCTGCTCTGAAAATCTGATGAGCTTAACTCCCTTTTGGCAAAGGATGGCATCCATAAAAATGCACATAAAGTACACTTACAATTGCAGGATGTTCACTGACCACAGGAAACGATTATCTAAAGATCCTCAGGTGGAACATCCAGGCAATAGAAACTAGAGTGGGGATTTTTCACAGGGGAATAAACTAATCAGACTTAGGAAGTTCTCCCTAGAATAGAGGGAGGCTGGGAGAGCTCTGAAGACTGAGACAGGGAGTTTTCCATCGTCTATTTGCAGCCAGAGACTTAACTATGACACTAACTTGGGGTCCTTAGATGAGCTTGTGAATCTTTCGTCACTGCTGATTCCCTTCTGTGTGCGAGAGGCTTGCCAGTGCCCCCTCCCAGTCTTTGTGAGGATTAAAATGAGAAAGCTGGCATCTTATGCTGTATAGAGCTTAACTACTTTCAAATCATGGTACCAGAGGACTTTATATGGATCCCCCAACCTGCCTCTGAGGCAGGGGACAATTCAGTTCAGGTGACAAAACTAAAGACACAGATGGGAAAATGACCAAGACTTTCAATAAAGGGAACTGGAACCCCAAATAGGGGTCACCTGACTACAAATGCCACACATTGCTTCCCACAGAGAAAGTGCTGACCAAACTATTAAACACTGCATCTGATATTAATTTCTGTTGGCTGTTTTAATTTAAATCAACAACTCTTAAGGAAAACCCGGTAATTCCTGCTTCTAGTGTTAGGGTAGATCTTCAAGGAATGGACACAGTTTATCATTTGGGCCTAACATCTGCTTCCCTTTTAACATAAACAAGGGCAGTAAGAAAGCCAAGTATGTCCTCTATAAATCTAAGCCAGCAATTCAGATTTTACCCTTAGCACTTACATTTCAAGTAGAGGTCTAATTTCAAAGTACTACCTTGTCAGTATTTTACAGATATTAAGAAAAAAATATCATTCCTTTTATGCTACAAGTACTTGCTTGAGATACTGTTTCTTCAATAACACACTTGGAAAGGCTCTTTTCTTTTAGAGTCTAACCTCACATATCCTCATCTTGATTTCTTTCTCATGAGGAAAGGCCCAGGAGATCATCACTTCCAGTATTTCTAAACCTTATTTGGCTACAGAAATACACCCTCCCCCTATTAACTCTCCCACCCCCCCAGTGCTAATACTTAGCAACTGTGGGATACATACTGGTAAAAACATAGGTTCCCCAGTTTCCAGTCTGTCACACTGAGAAGGACATAGCCCAGGACTTTCTTTGGGGTTCAAATCCCCTAAGTGGTAGTTTAGTCCTTTTCTCACTGGGATGGTGAGACCACTTTTAATTTCTCTCTCTCAGGAGTGCTTAGGACTCAACACATTCTAGGAAAAATTAATAACTATGTCCAATTCAGTTTTTACTAAGCAGCTTCTACAACTGCATCTGGGTAATGGAATAATTGCAGAATTGTGGGGTGGGGATCTGGAAGAGGACACATTTCATTATTTTGTTTTTTATTTCTTTAAAAATAGAAATGTACAAAGTATCAGCAGTATATTCCTCATATTTGTGTGATACTTTTCAAGGTGCCTGCTTTCACGTGCATGTAATTTCAAATGTTTATACAACAACCCTGTACAACAGGTAATTTATTTTATGGAAGGGGAAACTGAGGCTTAGAGAAGGTAAGTGAAGCAGGTGCTGCCCCTGACAGAAGCAGAGCCCTGACTGAAGCTCAAGGTGCAGAGTTGGGCATGTTTCTGCCCCAAGGCAATGGCTCTCCAAGTTCTGGTGTCCTGGTCTCCATGCCCTTTCAGCTCCATTATTCTGTAGTAATTTGGATTTTAAACTACTGACTCTGTTATCTAAGAAGAGGATTGTTTTCAGAGTGGAGGACTGCAAAATAGTGAAACAAAAGCCCTGCAAAACAAATATGAACAATGCCTCTAGCCTCTTCTAAGAAAAAGACATTCTTGTAAGTGTCAATACTAATCAGCTACATGTGTGTTCTTTGAAATGTCTGAACTTCCTAGTAAAGGCAAAACATTATATGATGCACAGAAGAGTTTATTGATAATAGATTTCAGAGGACTACTTCAAAATTCTCTTAACATTTCTCTCCTAAGGAGCTGTCATGTGCCAAGCACTATCGTTATAAAGTCAAATCATTCAGGATTCCGGCCTCTGACATCTCAGAGTTTAGGAAGAAAGAGACATGAAAATAGGTAATTACAATAAAGTTTAAGTGCTAAAACACAGGTATTAAATTCAATGTTTTGAGATGGGAGAAGGCTGCTAG